GCTCATTTAAAGTATCATTGGACCCTGTGAGAATTTTGTCTAAATGGAATTTGCAAGGTGGAGTGTTTTTTATTGTTTTTACTTGGGAGGAGAGTAGGAGAAGGAAAAAAAAAAAAAAGCAACTGATGGTTATTACAAAAAACTTAGACTTACGTAGATTTAGGAGGAAGGGGAATGCCTAGGATTACATGTGTATGTGTGCATGCACATACAGCGTAAATTAACATTAGTGCCATTTTAAAAAGTCTGTATCTTCCTGCTATATGAAGTGTCTCTGCTTAAAGTCAAGTACATTCTGTGTGCTTATGTTTAGTGCTTTTTTTTCTCTTTTCCTTTTCTACGTGATCTTAGGCTGAGGCTCACTAGACAGTAGCCTTTGCAGGCAACCACTTTGCATTTTCTGTTCCCTTTGGTTTTATGAAGGTACAGGTGTAAAACTTGTGTAGTTCCAGTTTCTTTAATTCATCCCTTCCACTTAGGGCATTTAAAAGTCAAATGAACATTAATCAGTTAGTTCGATTTGTGGAGAGCTTGAAATAGCTATCTTTACTTCCTTTTTGCTAAACAGGCATGTTACAGGAACAAAACCAATGTTAATCCGAGCGTGGCAGCAGCCCCACGGCGGTACGGATTGCCCATCCGCTGCTCTGGTTCACATCGTCTCCCTACAGCACCGGACAGAACCATGAACTTCTCAAAGGACAGTCAAGACTGAGCAGCGCTTCCAGCTAATCAAACCCAGCTTTGCAAACGCTTGCCAAATCCCACTGATACTCCTTTGAATTGGAGGGACAAGACTATGATTCATGAGTGCATTAAGCACAGGATTAGTAGGATGCAGTCAGTTTGAATCACATCCCAAGCAATGCAGGCAGTGCTCAAAGGCAAGCGGGGACTTCGACGGGGATTTACTAGCAACCAATAGGTTTTGCAGAGCATCACACCCAGTTAGTCTGAGAAGAGAGCGCGATTTAAAGACAGATCAGCCCAGCCCTCCTGCTCCAGAAGTTTGCACTGCTTCTGTGTACTGAAAAACCTAGAGGGACCAGAAGCATGGACTTGGAATAAAATGGTAAAATAAATTTCCAAAGAAGCAACCATGATGAGAAGGTGGTTTCAGCAAATTCTGCAAGCCTAGGATTCAAAGCAGGAGGCTGGTAGCACAGTATCACATGTGGCAAAGCTTACCTTATGATTTCAGCATACTCCTTGTCTTTTCCTTTACTGTCCCTCCATTTCCTGAACATGACTGATGCATCCACATTGGCAGGAGAGAATGTGTTGGGCTCATTAAGCAAAGAGATTACACTCAGTAAGATAGTCCTGAAAAAGGTAACCACAACAGCAGAGTCAGAGCCAACGCATTCACGGATTCTGGATGCTGACGACTCCTTTACATGATGCATCAGAAACTTGTTTAAAGTCAAAACTTAAGGTAAGGATAAGGGTTGAAGTGACAGAATACAAACCTCAAGGACCTCGTCTGACCAGATAGACCCAATCACAGATAGATAGATAGACCGACCCAATCACAGAATCATTTAGATTGGAAAAGACCTTTAAGATCATCAAGTCCAACCGTTACCCTAACCCTGCCATCCCACCACTAAACCATGTCCCTAAGCACCTTGTCTGCCCAGCTTTTAAATACCTCCAAGGATGGGGACTCCACCATTTCCCTGGGCAGCCTGGTCCAATCCTTGACAACACTTGCGGTGAAGAAATTTCTCCTCATGTCCAATCTAAACCTCCCTCTGTACAACTTGAGGCCATTTCCTCCCATCTTATCCCTTGTTACTTGGCAGAAGAGACCAAACCCCACCTGGCTCCCCCCTCCTCTCAGGCAGTTGTAGAGGGCAATAGGGGCTCCTCTCAGCCTCCTCTTCTCCAGGCTGAGCACCCCCAGTTCCCCAGCTGCTCCCCATCAGCCTTGGGCTCCAGACCCCTCTCCAGCTTTGTTGCCCTTCTCTGGACAGACTTGCCCTGCGCAGGGAAGAGGACCACTACAGCCCAAGACCGCAAGACAAGGCTGCTCTGCCTTCCCAGCCCCACAGCCTGCTTGGAGGTTAGAGCTGTGGCCAGGTCTCTCCTCTCCTCAGCCCACGCACAGCTGAGGCTGCTGTAACAGCACACAAGCACAGCAAGGGAAGGCAGTGCAGATGTCTTTCAATACCCAGGCAAGACGCCAAGGGCCCAGCAGGATTCAGCTGCTGGTACTGAGCAAAGACAGCACGAGCCAGCCACATAAGCCCCAGCAGACAGACAGCCTTCCTGGACTTCTAGCAGCAGCACAGAGCTACTACCTGCCCTGCTGGCATTTACCAGGGGCAAACACCACCTCCTCGCCCAGACCCTTCTGCATGTCCTGCCACCCTTTGTACTTCAGAGATTCAGCCCTTTGCTCACAGTGCCACAACCAGCACAAAGCTCAGCAGCAAGTCACATCAGGCATCTCTACACACCCGGCCGCCTCGCTGTAGCTACCACTGCAACAGCTTCACATGTCCAAATTGGTCCCGCTGGCAACAGCTTTCCATTTAAATGGAAAGGAAGAACAAGAGACAAGGACTAAGTCTTGAAACACAGCAGTACACAGCAACTGCTTTGCAGAACTTGATTAAAGGAGACTACAGCCCCAGCTGTACCTGCACTGATTTAGGGGCACATTCAGAGCAGTGCATCTACCAGATCATGTATCTGGGACACAATTCCAGGAAATGCTTGGTCATTTGGATGCTGAGTTTCTTGAAAGGTTTTGAAACTAGACACTTGTGTCTGGCCAGACTGTTCAGCACAGCTATCAGGAGAGTCTTAAACAATTTATTTTCCAAATTACATAATTCAGTAGGAAAAGAAAACAGCAGCTCTGGAAAAAAAACCTGTCTGATCAGACTGGAATGATGTGCAGAAGACAGGCCATCTCCTACTTCATCTCAAGAATTCATTTAAAAGCCTTTCATTCTCAGCAAACAGGCTGTAAAGCCCGCATGTCAGCTCCAGCACCACTGCAGCAGCTTTACTGTAGAGCAAGCGAAGTCTAGGGAAGGCTGAGGATGGGGATTCATGTCTGGATTTAGCATCTGCTCTACCACACTTCCATCAACAAAGTGAGAAGGAGATTTCCACTGTGGTGCCCCAGACTCCAAAGTCACTGCCAAGTTGCTTAAATACACCAAGGCAACTGTCTATTAGAGGTGAGGCTCTGCGCTTTTCATTCCCAACCAGCACATTAGATCAGCTCCATCACTGCTGATACCTTAAGAAAGAGCTGGACAGCCTCCTCTGACTCAAACTCTGGGTAAGCAAGATGAAGAAGGTACAGTACTAGGAAGGGATCACAGCACATAGGATCTGACAGGATCAAAACCACGAAAGAAAAGTTCAGCCACATGGGACTGAAAACATCCTCAGCATCAGCTATGGAAAGCACTGGACTGGATACAGACTGACCCTTTGCAACGCTGCCAGGGATCTGCTTCTCTCTCAGGTGAGGTTGTTCTAGCACGTTGTTTCATGTAAGTCAGCTGCATGAAGAATGGGGATTTCAAGCCTGCCTTCTGCTTTCCAACATCCTCCACCCCATTCTGGGGAACAGTGAGCTGGTTTGGGTGTCTACAGCGCTGTTGTCTTCAGAGTGAATCCCTCTCCATCCCTCTACCAGCACAGGAGAGCAGCCAGCAGAGGCCTAAGTGCCTCTTTCTCTCCACATATCAACAGAAGGCTCAGACACAGATGAACTTCATCCAAAACAGACATTTTGTAGGCCAGCTGGGGCTGCCAACCAGCATGTCCTGTTATACGCCTTGTTGAAAAAGGGTTGGGCTTTTTTTGCCAGCTGCTATCCACATCGTAGTCTCTCAGAGCCACCTTTAGAGGTGGGTATAGATCTGTCCTTGCACATTTTTACTCTCCAGTATGAAGTGAAAAGTTCTGGCTTAGGTTGCACTGACAGTCATGTCAGTGCATTGAGCTGGTTGCAGAAACTGTCCAGATTTTAGGCAGCCAAAAAAGCCAATGAAAATGGGCATCCTCAAGAAATAAAGCAATAGTGAGACAGGGCATCACCTATCTTCACAAGATACAGATGCACCAACATCTTGAATATTGTGCTCAGTTCTGGCCTGTGCAGCTCAAAGGACAGAGGGGAGGCAGGGGAGATACGGAGAAGGGCAACTAAAATGATCCAAGAGTCTCAACTCAGTCCTGCCACCACCTCCTCAGCTTTGTGGGACTGAGGACAGGAGAAAAGCAGTGTTCTCTGCCACACGGATCGCAGATGCATTTCTCCACATCTTGCTGGATGTTTGCCGTATTTACTTATGCCCCCCTCATCTAGCTCTGAGTGACAAGAAAGTCCACGTTGACTGTGTTTAAAAAAGTTAATGAGCATGCTTGACACCATCAGAGGTGGAAGCACAGGTGCTCTCAAAGTCGAAAAATGACATTCCAGCCTCCAGACAGTTCAAACCACAGTCATCTATAGTAAACAGTCAATACTTAGCAGTTTACAAAATTCAGGATTTGAAGAGAAGCCCTAGGTTACACACCCAGCTCACTACAAGCATGCTCCCCTCCCATAGCTTCAGCCCTGCTACCTCCTGCCTGACACCCTGGAGCCAGATGGGACCCAGCAGGATGCATTTCTATTGTCACTTGGCCCAACAGGTGATGCTGGTAGCCAGCTAGCAGTTAAGGACAAGTTCTATTTCCATTTGCTGATACAGCTCAGGAATGTTTTCTCCCCAAATGTTACCCTTAAGCCCAACACAATCCAAGAGAGTAAGCACCAAAAACTGCACTGTGGTAAAGGAAAGCAGAAATCAGAGAACTAGCACCATGAGAAGTTTCACGTCAATCTTTAGGGTTGTATACAATGAAATACTCCAAATGTGTGTGTGATACAAGTAATTAATGGCCAAAGCTGTTTCCTAACTACAAGTAGAGGCTTGCCACCTAGTCCTAACTATATCAGACGTCTGGAAAAAAGTTTAATAGCCATGTGAGCAGAGGGACAGGTGAACATAACTTAGCAATATATAGCTTCAAATAGCATTTAAGCTTTTCATTTTTTTTTCAAAAATCTGAGCTAGAACTTTTGAGAGGTCATGTCATGCTCCCTTGTACTTGGTACAGAGGGATTGGACAGCGTTTACCTCAAGCTCAGAAGGCCAGATTCCTAACCCTTCATGACTTCACAAGCTAAGAGGCACCATTTCTCTTGAGCCTTTTTAACCTTGAAGCAGTATGCTCCAGGAAGAACATCAGTTGTTATAATTTGCTGACTGCTACAATTCCTAGCCTCCTGCCATGTTAGCTCTAGTTCAGCACTTTGCAGAGTGTCTGTTTTACAATCCTATTCCAAGGGTCAAGAATCCAATAAATCCCCCTTGCTAGATCTTTGCTTTGACATAGGCTCTTTTCAAATTAATTTCATGAAGCCAAGTTTGATGAAAGCCGCATCAAACTATCAGACAACCCCTTTCAAATTACTGCACTCCCTCAGGTGTGCTAAGATCCCTAGCTGGGTTCATCAATAAATAACAAAGATTTCAAGCTGGGGAACCAACATCTAATAAATCACTCTGAAAGCAAGCATAATTCCCATATGATGTGCCTGAGCAATTATTTTAACTTTAACCTGATTCATTATCTAAATAAGAAGTTAGAACAGGAAGTACCTTACTTTGAGGTTTTTCCACTATGCCACTCACTGCTCCAGCTGCACAGCTCAGTGAGCTGCTGCTTGCTACGAATTTTATCAGCTCTTTATTGGCAGTGTCTGGTAATGAGAATGAAATTCAGCTGGTGTTTCAAAGAAAATGGACAGGTAGCCTTGAATGCCTCTGGTATTTTGCAATCCTTTGTTTATTTGGCAGGAAGAAAAGTCTCTAGCTAACTGCTCAAAATACCATGCTGCAGACGGGGGATGGAAACAAATACTGGAAGGCAAACAGTAGGTAGGATTATGCGTACCTGAATGGGCCTAAATACTCAAAAACCTTCTCCACTAGTAGTATCTTGGAGGAGTTCGAAAAACCTAAGTGTAGGATAACATGGCCTGGAAAACGCTAGAACATTTGAGATAATTTGCTTTAAGAGCATGCAAACCTGTGAACAGGACAGAAGTCCCCATATTTGTTAGCCCAGCATCAGGACACACAGCACTCCAGTATCTTTAGACAGCTTGCCAAGTCTGGTTCCCACCCAATTCAAGCCCTAAAACACCCAGTGTCTTAAATTCCCCTCCAAACCTCTCCCAACACAGGCCTCAGTCTTGGAGATAGACAACAGGCATCTGAGGGCACCCTTGTGCATCACGGATTCACAGTTACCTGACATTTTGGGTAGGGTTCCACCTCTCAGATGGCAGCTCTCCACTTTGTGGGTCATCTACAGGTGGGTGAAGAATTGAAATACATACATCTCCATTCTGAAAGACAGAAACAAAAGCTAAGAGAGGCAGAGGTCTGACAACTCAACTCCATCACTCCGGGTATGTTCTGAGCAGTTTTACCTTGTTGATATGTTACCTTGTTGATATGAACACCTCAAGTGACAGTAAAGATACGCAAGTGAAAACTGTTCTCAATTATTCCTGGGTCTACTGTGTGTATATGTTCAAAAGTTTCCCTTGCTAAACAGAGTTAGTCTGCAAATTGGTACAAAACAATCTCAAGAGGTTTAAAGAATGTAGCAAAGCAAGCAAAACCAGTAATAAAATCACATAAAACTGAATTAGACTCCAGATAGCAAGTACTGTCACAGTGATAGAGGTGAGCTCTAGTCACAGGAGACACAGAGTAGGGTTGAAAAAGTTTTCTGCTCCCAGTGGTAGCTGAGTTAGCCAGAGGCATTTTTGAATTGAAGGGTTTAGCACTTTCTACTAGCTCAGGTATCAAAGCAAGGCTTCTCCTGGGACACAGGAGGCTGAGCAGATGGTGCAGGGCAGGCCTGCGCCTCTACCCCAGGACACAGCTGTTTGAGATACCAGGTGAAAAAGGAGGAGATACTCTGTGAAGGCTTCACTGAAAATCCCTTCCAGCATGCAAGAGGAAGAATATTTTGGCAGCATATGGAAGCCATACAGCCACGTAATCCTCAATCTGTGTTTTACTCACCAGTGTTATAGCCTGAATATAGATTCAAAGCTCCATGATGCCTACCATTTATAAATACTTTAAGAAGCCTGTAAAGCCAACTCTCCATCAGCAAAGGCACTCTGACATGATTACTTTGTAGGAATGCTGCAGCAGTACCCACCACAGCTTATATTCTCCACTGAAGTTGTCTCTGGGGTCTCATGGGGTCCCAGTGCCTTACTGCAGAACAGGGTGAAGGTAGAGATGGGGCCTGAGGCTGGCCGGCAGATGTTGGCCTCTCCAGGCCCTGCTGGCTTGCTGCCACTTACAGCTGGCTGCTGGGGTGACTTACAAGGTTGTAGAGGCAGCCCCATGCCTTCAGGTGGCACAGCCTTAGCTGACTGGCAGTGCTCACACTGTCCCTTGTCACCCTGATCCAAGGTACAGGTTGATGACAGGAACAAGAGAGAAGCTGCGGATCAGTTCGGTTTGAGACTGCAGGCTGGCAGCTCCCCAGGCACCTGGTCCCAGCTACGTCCCGAGGGCCCTCCAACATTGCTCAACATAGAGGAGCCAGAGCACGAAGTAGTGCTGCTTGCTGCGATAGCATCTGTGCCTTTGAGACAGAGCCAGCGATCGCAGCTACAGATAGCAGCAGCTCACCTGAAGGGCCTCCCGGATATTTCAACTCCCCTTGATTAACAATGACATTTGTTTTATAGCCAAACAAGATCCTACTTCAATGTTGGAGGCTTGTGATCGGTATCCAGTTTTCAGCGGCTCACTAACAGCGCCAGGTATGCTAATCTAAGCAAACCCTCGTCATTTCCAAGCAGGTTTTTGTCAAGAACACAACTACGCCCAGCAACGTAGCACCTGGAGCTGCTGAATACCCAAGGACACATTTATGTTGCTGGAACAGTTTGCCATAACAAGGCAGTTTCCTTTCTAGGACTCCAACAAGCTTGTTCAATCTAGAAATATTTTTTAATATCATATTAAGGTGAAGTTAACCTTACTAATGCTAGATTGTGTTCACAGCCTATTCTGGTTTTATTAATAATTTCTATGAGTTTACCCAGTTTTTTTCCTTTAACCATCTCCTGGGAGAATGCAGTGCTGGTGGCCAAGAGGAAACATCACAGCATTTGGGTGAAGTTCCTCAAGCAATCAGGTCAGCAGCACATGGACAAATAGGTATTTGACAATACGAAAATATAGAGAGAAGCAAGAATGTGAGAAGTTTCCCTCTTGCAACAATAAATGTGACATGTTTGGAAAGCCAAGCAGGGCAGCACTGCATTACAGAGTCTTGAAGGGTAAAGGTGTCATGGGCCCTGACGAGATTAGCACGAAGTTTTAGGGATCAGTGTAGTCAAAGGGAGAGCCTCTCCCTACATACATTTTTTGAAAGATATACACAGGAAGATGGAGTATTCATCTGCCAGTGGGAAATAGCCTATAATTCCATTAGGACTGAGAACTGTTATGACATCGAAATAAAACAAGTGAACTCAGTTTTACCAAAATTCAACTAGATGACCCAAGTAAACGGGACATGGGGAAAACACACAAGTTACTCAAGTGCTCAGAACTGGAACATCAGCCCCAACTTCTCCATCTGGTCCCACCAGCAGATTCTGTAAACTGCCACTTTCTTTCATCTTCCTTACACTGAAAGATTTTTTTTTTTTCCCTCCTCCTGACAAACCCTCAAACCTCAAGCCCTTTGCTGATTTAGTCTCATTTTCATTTGGAGTTTTCCCAGTGCCTCATCTTCATTGCTTAAATGTTGTTTCCAAAACAGCCTGCAAGCTGCTTCAGATCCCTTCAGCTCCAAGAAATACTGCTATGAACACAAAGTACAAAGCTAAGAGCTGGAGTATTTGACGAGTAACCCCAAAATACACCCATCAAGTTTCAGGTTAGTTTCTCCACCTACCTTCAGTTTTTTCTAGAGCCAATTTTTCATCTTTCCCACCAGGACTGGGAGAGGTCCTTTCCAAGACTCATTTGTACATACCATTTTGGTAACCATTTCCCACTCACCTCCTGCATGAGAATTTCTGGATTCAGAATCAACATCCACAGTATGGATCTGCAATAATCTGCAGGTCTCAAAGTTGTCTTTATTTATAGATCAAACTCCTGTGTAACTGAAATACAGCCTTAAAGAGAAACACCATCCTTGGCTACATGGAATATTCTGCGCCAAGCCCAAAACTTGTCAGAAGACTGTCAGATGATTGATTTCAGGATGTCCCTGGGCTTAGGACAATCCTCCTGTGCATCCAGTAATTACAGCCGATTACTATCCTGTTTTGCACCAAAGTTTGGAGAGGCTTTTGGCCATTTATTAGTAAGCCATCGGTGTGGGTTTTCATTTGAAGCACACTCATTCCAGGCTGGACATTTAGGAGCAACAACTTGTTAGAAAAGGGCCTTCCAAGCCCAAGGCATCAACTGAAGACATCATTTGTTCACAGCAATGAAGAGAATTGACATTCCTGTTTTGAAGTGGGCCCAAAGGAAGCTTGCAGAACCTCTCACAGGAAGACCTGTGATAAAGTGACAGAGCTGGACCAACAGGAACATTTTGAAAGGCCTTTTTTCCCCTCAAACTATTCAACCAATAGTCCTAGCAGTCTGACATTTGCCTAGGACATCCTAAAGTTTAGTGAGGATTTGACTGGCCTCCACTACAAGTCAAGTTTTGAGCCAAAACAGGCCTCCAGCTTTCAAATATAGCTCTATGAGATTTGGTAATTTTGAACTGATTGCTTCTAGGTAAGATCATTCCCCTTCTGGACCTGCTATGATCCAATAATGGACTTGACAGCCCACAGCATTACTCTCTGAACATGACCCATACATGCACCAAACTAAGGGGTACTTCAAATTGACTAGTGGACATTAAGTCTGGAGGTATCTGTTCACACTGGTTGCAGGGTGAGCAGGCTGTGCCTGACTCCTCCTGAAGCTCGACTCCAGCCCACCTCCAGTTCTTTCTGCAGCTGGAGCAACCCAAGTCCAAACCCCTTCACTTGTAGACAAACTGCTGCAGAAGACCGTTTTCCATTATTTCTTGTCTCAGCACACAATTTGTAGGATATACTCAAAGTGTACTTGAACTGTGTACAAATGGCAACTAGCTGACTAAGTATTACAGTAGGGTAAGATCCAAGAACCCTAAAATTGCCAATGCTCATGGCACAGTGCTTTGGCTGGGGCTGGCTGCTGTACTTGCAGGCGTGAGAACAGCTCCATCCCTACCTATAAGAACAGCATTTCCTACAACATCTAGATTTCACTGTTTAACCACGACACTGACATTTAACACCTAACCACTTTAGTTATGGCTAGTGACATTTAGTACCTTCAGCAGAAGTCTAAGAAAGTAGAGAGCCTTCTCACATGCCTGAGAAAAAGATTACTTGAAAAGATTACTTAAAAACACCTTACCTCATAAATGTTGGGGTGCCACATTTTGGTCAGGAATCTGAAGGTAGGTGGTGAATATGGATAGTCGATAGGAAATTTAATGTGAGCCTGGAAAAAAGCAAATTTTAGTTAATAAACAGAACAAGAGAGATATCAACAAGCCACCATTACAGTGAAAAAATGGAAAACACAAATTTCGGTTAAGGCCATTAAACTGTTCATTTTACACACCAGTGTCCACGTGGTCCCACAGTATAACTCTACACAATTTCTTATAAGCAAAACACTAACCGAACAAGAACAATCTACACACCAGGACTGACTTGGGCTGGTAATGCTCAGAAAACAAGCCAAAAGGCATGTACCACATCCTGATTCTAGCAGCATTATCCAAAAAATGCTGTTAAACAGGGCAAAATAGATTTGAAAAGCTGGAACTCAAGATACTACTGCTGTCTTTTTGGGTTCAGAAGCAGGCTAAAAATGTTTGCTAAGGTGAAGAGATCTGTTTTACATTTACCAGTGCAAATATTTTAAATTACTCTTTCTGTGCAAAAAAAAAAAAAATAAAAATTGTTACTTGCTCTACTGAAACATGAAGTTTTTTTGCCTCTTACACGACAGTTAGGCTGGTCCATCTACCTGTGTTCCTAACACTGTGTATTTCTTGTCACCACAAGCATTTCCCAAGTCTGAATACCATCCAGGTCTGTTTAATCAATCAGTGCAACATGACAAATGGAGTATTGATAGGTGATGACAGCAAACGTTACCTTCCAATGCCCCCGAGGTCAGCACCCAGCTGTGGAGCAAGACTCTCGGAGCTGAGTCAGTTGTGGGAAGACTGCAGAGATCCCAGCACTGGATATTAACTTCTCTGTGCTGTCCAGCCATTCCCAGCAGTCAGAAGAGCCAGCCAGCCAGTAGGAAAGAGGGCTGAATCTGGACTGATCAAGTGCCTAAACTGCTCCCCTCTGAAAGGGGGACTTGCACACCACTTGCTGCACGGTGGAGCACAAACCCTTCCCCTGGCATCGCTCAAACACCCAGAAATTCCTACCACCGGTCTAGCATGAGATGTCCAGAGAAGCATCTTCCAGGCCCTGCACCACAGCCAGGCCCACATGCCGACCTTGTTCAACAGGACAGACTATGGGAAGTTTTATTCCCAGAAACAAGGAGGCCACCAAACAAACTGGATTACTGAGCGATCAAGTACCTGGGTACAGTTTTACTTGTAGGTCAGCACATGCCTTTGCCTTGTAACCCAGGTTTTATGGGGCCAGAGTGCTAGGTACCCAAGAAATGAAGGTTTTCTTTGTTTCTTATGAAACAAATCCAGCAGCTCACATGGCTTTATGTTCTGCATGTGCCAGCTCATGATACAGACTGTATGTGGGGATGTTAGAGCAGCACCGAGTCCCCACCCCGCAGTCATTTGCCACGGCACACTCACAACAAAAGGATTTATGATCAGCTTACACAATCCTAGCCCACGGTTTCAGGTCAGTTGCACGAATGGCATTGCTCCAAGAAGAGCAAACGAATGCTTCTTGTCACCACAACGTCACAGAAGAGAGCGGCTGCTGCAGCAAGGACATGCCTGGCTCTGCAACACGCCATCCTGCGCTGGGAGCAGAGTAGGGATCTACCCAGGGCAGAACAGATTCGCTTCAGCTCAGGCACTTGCATCATGTAGCTGCAGATTCCTCCAGATGACTGGGGTTTTCCCAAGAAAGCCCATTTCTCCACTTACGTGCAGTTTCGTGAGATCTAAGACATAAAACAGCCCAAGGACTGAGATCAAAAATGCAAGAGACAACAAAACTCAGGGCTGAGCTAGCAACAAGATTTCTTGGCAGAACCTGTGTCTTGTACACAGGTATAGTTTCCAGGCAACGAAAAAAGCATACTGCCAGCAGCGTAGCAGCATTACCATGTTTATATCCCACATACAAGGTCAAGGAGCTGAGGAAGCAGGTCTCATTCCTCCTGGTAAAAACCCTCTGTTCTCACATTGTCTAACCCTGAGGGTTTCATCTCAAGACCACCACTGCAAAGGCTGAGCCTGGAGCACCAGTTGTGGTCTCTATATGTGATGCAGACTCATGCAAAAGCCGTAGGATCCTGGAAGACTGTTTCAAACTTCTAAATCCCCTTTTGCAGCCACAACTCTTTAACAGAAAAGGGCTACCTGCCTGCCTGCAATAACAATCATTATGGAATTAAATAAAGCTGGTGCTTTGCCATATGAAGGATGCTTCATGAGCTCTGGCACCAGAAAATGCAACTGGATTTCTTCTCATGTGAAAGCACCTGGGAACCCAAGGCTGCCTGTAATCAGTCACATATTTAAAGAAATCAGAGTCACAGTACTTGTTGATAAGCCCGTAAGTGTTTAGCACATTGAGATGCTGTACTGGAGCACAAAGCAAGTGAAGCCTCTCTAACAAACCCGATTTCAGAGCCAAAAGCCACCAAACTAGGAAACCCCGCATTACAGGCAGGGATTTTTTCCAAACGAAAATAAAGCACCACTTTCAGGTCCCTATGTTGAGATCATTCAGAATTTGCAAAGTGAAACTAAATGCAGGGCATTACAAACGGGTCCCAGAGAACTACTCCGTATCTATTCTCTAAGAAAAATCATGGGAAATTATGCAAACCCACTCTGCTCTCACTTGATCTACTCGAGTTTCTGAGGGCATTAAGCAAGCCAAGAATTTCCAAGACAAACTGCAAGACTGCTTGCAAAAATGAAGCAACAGCCATGACTACAGGTCAGTTTTTTCACTAAAAGCCCAGTTCTAAACATGTTAAGATACAAAAAGACTGAATTAAGCAATAAACTTTTTTTTAAAAATAAAGCAGTAGTTCACAGAAAGGTTACCCCCCAACAATTTCACTGATGTAAGGCAAGTCAGCTCTCTGAGCTTGTTTCTGGTAAGTTCAGCCAGGCACTGCTAGCTGCTAAGAGTGGCAGAGTTTTAGGGCAGCTTGTTGTGAGCTCAGTTACAGCCAGATGCACTAATTTAGAAGGACTAAAGATGCAGGTCAGTCCCCCATCTACAAGTACCCAATCATTACTGCATTCACCATGTGTTTGACTCCTCTAGCTGAGCTTAAACTGAACAGAAATAGGATTATTTCAGTGTCCTGATTTTAGCCACCTGCTCACAGTGGTGCTTTGACACCACTGAACATACTCAATAGCCAGGAAGGTGGAGACCAGTCATCAGCCCATCGCCCCTTCCCCAATTTATAACTAGTCATACTTACAGTCCCTAGAAAAAAAATAAACTCCCTGATGTTACATTGAATAGACCAGCCTGGCAGCAAATTCAGCCCTTTATAGGCATTTACAGCTACCACACAAGAACTTCAACCTCTAAGTTACATCATGACACATTTTATGAATATTGCTACCAGCATGGTCAGTTTGTTTCCCATTTTACTGCCTTGCTCCCTGGCATCCTCATTTGTGACTGGACTTCATGTTTGTTATTCTTCTCCTATTTGGATAAGGTAAAGCCATCGTGAAATGTATGTATGCCAGAAAAATAAAGCCATACTAGATACCATGCTATTTGACTGAAAATACAAACCTAACGTTTCTACCAACTGCTGAATTAAGTACTGATTCAGTTGCTATGAATAACTACTACAGTGACTTTGTTTCTGGAGATTCTGACATGCACTTGACTCAACACTTACATATTAATATTTTCTCCCTCTCAGTGGGGAGCACGAAGCACAGGCAGGACTCCCTCCTAGCTTCAGCTGCCTAGAAATTCAGTATTTACTCCAGCCTAGCTATATATGACCGTTCTATAGTCTGGCACCGATTTCTCCTATTCCTCTCCATTTGACAAAACCTAGACCCCTGATTTTTAGGCAGCAAGGGTAGGAATGGTGAATCCATCCTATCTGCCCACTGACGAAAGGCAATGGTGGGGGAAGCGCACACATTTCCTGGAAAGCCACCAGCATCACAGCTGACCTGATTTGGGGAAATCAGGAGCACCAGCAGCTTTTACAGTGGCCAGCGGAAACTGCAGCTGCTTGGTGTTTCTGGAAGTGCCAGTTACAGACAATTCTTATTTTAGAACACCACAAGCTTAATGCAAGTCCTATGAAAACACAGCATCAGTGACACTAAGCATCCTTTGCAAACTGCATTTAAGACCAGATACAAAAGAAGCGTTTGAGTTTCTAAACTATCTTGTGCTTTTTGTGTAATTACCTGCTACAGCCAGCTCACAGCCAAGCTCCTACCAACTCCACGTAGGTACCACCAAGGTCTCCTACAGATCACCCACCCTGCCCTGGTAAGTTATAGCACTTGCAGACAGCACAATGCCTCCTCGTTTTTCTTCTAAGAGGCATAAGCAGGCTCCTCGCTGCGCACATCATCACTTCCCGGAGCTGCACGCCTAACGAACGGCTCCTGCCAGTGCGCTAACTACACCGTACATTTAACGTACACAGCCAACAGGAACAGGATCTACAGACCACTACTGGGTTAAGTGTTAATATCTAATCCCACAAAATGCCCTTTACTGCTTCTAGCGCATCAAGCATTTATACAATCCTTCTAATGCATTCTCCTCTTCCACATTAAGCCTGGATTAGTGCGTGCAGTATTAAATACCATGTGCTGGAAAACGCGTTCAGTAGAGGTCAGCAGCCTGTTTCTCACATCAATGAGGTTTAAAGCACCTTGATATCGTCCAGCTTCAGAACTATAAAGCAGCATTAAAGCTAGCCACACTGTGCTGTCCACTACCTGACAAGGTGAAAATGAATGTAGGACCAACACTGCTATTTCCACTCCGGATATTACAACTTATGTCCTGAGTAATTTCTTGTGGCAGAGCTGGGCACTAGCCTGGTAATTTAGTCCTAGTTCTGGCTTCATTTCCCAGCAGCAGCATGCCAACGCTTATTGACATTCATTGTGCTTTTAGAGAACTATGACCACATCTCTGATGCAAGTTAGAAGACAAGTGACCAGATGAATTAATTTGTGCAAGTCCTGAAAACTCCCTTGCTGCTGCAATGGCCATATGAACACTAAGAGCAGCAAACCCCTTATATTTTATATTACATACACCGTTTCACATGGAATTTTAATCACAAAGACCTGAATATGAAGAGCAAACTAGATCACAAAGAGGACATGAAGTTTGTAAACAAGAAAGAAAGAGCCACAAGTCAGTAGGCCTAAGATGAATCAAGAGGTGAGGTTAACTTAGAAAATCAGAGGCTGGTTTGACGGCAGGAGCCCATTCTGGTTTCACACTAATTCGTATCTTGTATACACTTCAAAATTTAGTTATCTGGGGCATTACTAAAAGCTGTCATTTCCAGTGGAAGACTCTTCTGACATAAACTAGGTTTCCTTTTACTAAAGCTTCTCTTAACAGTGTCCTGGTTTTGGCTGGGACAGAGTTAATTTTCTTCCTAGTAGCTGGTATAGTGCTGTGTTTTCAATTTCGTACTACAAGAATGTTCATAACTCACTGATGTTTTTAGTTGTTGCTGGGTAGTGCTTAGTCTAGCCAAGGCCTTCTCAGCTCTCAGCTCCACCAGGTGCACAAGAAGCTGGGAGGGGGCACAGCCAGGACAGCTGACCCAAACTGACCAAGGGGCTATTCCAGACCATAGAGCATCATGCTCAGTATATACAGCTAGGGGAAAAAGAAGGAAGGGGGGGATGTTTGGAGTGATGGCGTTTGTCTTCCCAAGTAAGCCTTACATGTGATGGAGCCCTGCTTTCTGGGGATGGCTGAACCCCTGCCTGCCCATGGGAAGTGGTGAATGAATTCCTTGTTTTGCTTTGCTTGCATGCGCAGCTTTTGCTTTCCCTATTAAACTGTCTTTATCTCAACCCTTGAGTTCTCACTTTTACTCTTCTGATTCTCTCCCCCATCCCATTGTGGGGGGAGTGAGCGAGCAGCTGCGTGGTGCTGAGTTGCCAGCCGGGGTTAAACCACGACAAACAGTAAATTGTTATTAAATATTTCTGTCCATATTTCTGTTCATAAAGCTGGGACTGTTGTTAAGTCATCCAACCTGGAACAAAGCAGAAAGCCTGTAACTAACTTTGATCATCGTATTGCACCCTTAAAGAAAGGGCTTTGACCCACATACTAGCCTTTGCTCCTTAGATCTGAAATCAGGACTAACAGACATGAAACTGGGGTTGAGCTGAATGATAAGGCGGGGATTCACTACAGCCCTGTTAAGCCGGTTTGCATCCAAGCTCCTGCAATTTGCTACCTTCACATTCCTGTTGCCTCAGCCATCTCTCAAGGGATCTGAGTGAATAAAACTACTCTGAACAATGACATTAGAACAAGCGGTATCTGGAAACCAAACTGTTTTCTTCTAACATTGCTCACAAGAAACAAAAGGATTTAATTTTTTTGTTGTTGTTTTTATATTGTCTCTCTTTGATAACCTAGAAGTTCAGTCTGGAGGTTCTAAGCCTTCACCATGACAACTGCTCATGGCAGCTGCTACTCATCTCAAGACTGGGTTAGCCTGCACAAGTCAGCTGTGTTTAGGATCACAAGCAGTTCAGCAGTTAAGAGAAGACATTTCTTTCTTGCAGTGGGTTTTACTGAAGGGACAGTCCACGGGATTGCTCAGCTAACTGTGCCATTCAGTCTGAACCACAGGACAACCATTTTGGCTCTAGCTAGAAACACTATTGTCAGTGCTCTTGAGCCAGGGAGCACCCAGCTCCAGACAGGGAAGCTGTTAACGCTCTCGTG